TTTAATTTGTTGTGCTTTATAACTGCTGGCAACTGTTTAATGGCTAAATGTTAATGATCTATACCTTTCACAATAACCTAATTCACTCCCTGTATCCTACAAACCGGCTACACTGAGCCAAGGCAAGATAGATTATGGACAACTTGCATTGCAGTTTCTCCTTGTTTACCTCTGAGCAGGTGATGGATCATATGGTGCTCCCCAGACCGGACCAGTAACAGCTTGACTTACAGTTGCAGCATTAGCAGCTGGAACGTTGGCACTACTTCCATATGGGATCATACCCTCTGCTGGGCCAAGATTCATCTGCATTACAGGCCTACCATATCCATCAAAATAGGTGCTGCCACCTTGAAAAGGTAGTACATATGAAGGATCACCATTCATGTAGCCACCAGCATATGGTACTGGACCTATTGGCACTACAGAACACAGAATCAGTGCAAGTGTTAGCGAAGGGAAAAGTAAGGGGTCAATATAACCCCCATCTCTACTGGAAAGGAAAGTTACCATGCACTCTCTGCTCAGCAGTCAAGACTTCTGTGCGCAGCTTTTCCACTTCTCTTGCCATTTCAATCAGATTCTTCTCCATAGCTTGCATTTGCTGCACTTGCTCTATGTTTAAACCTTTTTCATACTGAAATGTAACACTACACAAAAAAGATCAAAACGATAATCAGAGCCAACTTCTTAGCAACTGTATGGGGGAATACAGAACAAATGATTTATGTAATAGAGAGATCTTGAGGTGAGGAACACATTTATTTTGCTGCCTAGCTCTAGTAGGAAAAGAAAAGGATGAAAAAGGGCTAAGCTTGAGCTATGAGTACTTAAGCCTTAGTAGTCGTGAGACTTTGCATCTTCCTATTGCATTCAATAAGAGCAATGATTTACTCTGATAAATATGGGGACTTTGACAGTGAGAAATCAAAGTGTTGTTCAAGCCAATTCTAGGGCGACTAGGTTCAGACTTGGCACTGAATTGCATTCTAAGAGACTGCATAGCATTACACATTAGACATCAAGGATTCCTCTGCGACAGACAACAAAATTGTATTGAGTTAGACATTGCATTTAGATTACTAAATTGAAATCTTTAGTGTTTTGTTCAGTTCATCGAATTTGGACAACCAAATGCACCTGTACAATTTGATTATGACCTTATTTATTGAAACCTTTGGGTGACCTCAAAGGACTGACTTAAGTTATATTGAGTTACTTAATTTGTGGGGCAAATGATAACACTTGTAAGGTGTTTTATACATTTTGGTTAAGTTTGATATTGTATGTGATTAAGGATAAAATGGTCACATGATTATATTTAAGGTACAGGGTGAGACAATATATAAAGTTGGTGTCATCCCAGGGCAAAATGTAGATGAGATGGATGGAAGTTCATTAGAACCCTCACCTTCCAGCCATTTACTTAAAACAGCATGCCATTGCCACATTATAGCAGAGGCATGGAGCAATAATTACAAACAGCATATTTACCAACATGTCAATTTTATTAACAGTTACCGGGCAATTAACATTCAGATGAACAAGAGAGCAAATAAATCAGATTTACGAGAAATGAGGTCCTAAAATTTGCATGAGTTTGAATGACCAAATGTGGCACTTCGTCCTATGGTATTATTATTATTATTATTATTATTATTTTGAAAAGTCTTGGGGTATAATTCGACAAGACCTTTTCAATAATAATAAGAATTTTGTCAAAATAACAGCAAATATTGCAACAAAAGTTTTCAACTTTAAATACTTACAAAAGGGTTCCGGGACACCAAGCAAGCAAGACATGTTTGACTCACCGTAATCTCTGGTGCTCCTTCCTCAGACCTTCAAGTTCAGCGTGCAACTCTGGCAGACTCTTAACATCATCATGGGTTTTCTGCAACTCATGAGAAGCCTGTTGAATTTGAGCCATGAACTCTTGTCTGGCTTTGACCAATTTTTGTGCCTCAATGTTTGCCTCTTGCAACTCCTTTTTCACACTCTCACCACCGAATATCTGCTTCCATTTTCGCAATCTTTTCCAGCAAACCCTGATCTGGATATCACTCTCAGTCTGGATGCTTCTGATGTGTTCCTTGAGTTTCTGCGCTTCATGCCGAGCAGTAACAAGGTCCTCCCTCAAGGCAACATGAAGGCTGCCGTTTGTGATTGTCCCCAGCAAGTCGCTCAATTTCTGCAGCCTGAGAAGCAATCTTGCTCTCTAAAAGCTCAGGTGGAGGAAGTGACTCCAGAGCCCAATGGGCACCAGGATGACCTGAGCTGGCAAGTGAACCATGTTGTATCACACCTGGAGCCTGGAGGGAACGTCGCTCATATGCTGATCGGAAATGTCTAGAAGCCATCTGTCTGATGATCCACTCAAACTACGTCACACTTGAATAGTAATCTGGAGAATAGACACCTTAGCTGTGGACACCTACCTTCTTATTTAAAAAGGAAAAAATGCAATAGAACCGGTCCACAGGGCACAAGATCATGTATATAATATAAAAAGAAATAAAGAGCATGCCTGCTACAACGCAGATTCTACTTAAATAGAAACACAATTTTAAAAAGCAGAGCACCTCCCCCCCCCCCCCCCCCCTCTCTCTCTCTTCTCTTCCAATGGCAACCCTCATCCCAATAGAAGGGAGAAACAAACAAACCAAATGCGAAGGGAAAAAAAAAAGGAAGCTTTGATACAAGCAAAAGAAGAATATCCTTCAAACTTGAACTTCAAATTATACCAATGAAAGAAAACTACAATATAATCATATGATGCACATGGGAGAATCCTCACTCAATAAGCTATAACTGCCAAGAAGTATTACAAGCTTCCTTTTCATTTCTCTAACTTCTATTGGATGAATTGGACTGAATAATACATCTAGCAACAACAACATGAATTGAGCTACATTTATTAGATTAATAAAAAATATGGAACAGTTTCGCTACCATGGAAAGGGAAATAGATCCTTTCAGTGTGCAATTTATTTACAAGATAAACACATGTAAAATTCACTTATGGTAATGTTGATTTTTGAAAAAAATAGTACAATGCATCATTACCCAAGGTTCTTCTTGTTAACTTGATTTTCTCTAATTACTGTAGTCTTTCAAAAAACTTTCCTCATCTTTTATTATATGTGGATAGATTAGGCCACAATATTCTGGTAAAATGAAAAACTAAACTTGGTTGTAATAATAGAAGGTAAAGGATAAATTACAAGAACCACCCTGATGTTATATAGAAATTAAGATTGATGACACCTTGAACTTTGTGGAGTTACAACCTGAATCATTCACCTAAATGATATTTCTAATCTTTTGACACTTACCTCCCAACACACACATTTTACAAGATAAGAATATATTTTCTTTGGAAATTTGAGGAAGAAAGTTTATTTTGAAAATGACCTTAAGGGTGATTTTGTTATTCAACCAACAGTAAATAATAAGAGAATACCTATATCCTCTCCAGACTGCACATCAAAGTAACTTCAATAACTAGAAATGACTGGCATGAATACCAAAAGTGACATAAGACCTTAATATTAAGATTTCACCCGACGACAGAAGAAATCAACCTATAGCACTACCAATTGCCGGAGAAAAACAATCGAAAATACTCTTTCTGTCTCAATAGCCAAAACAAACCACACAAAGAAAAAGAATATTAATGGCATCCTACCCTACACCATCTCAAATCTCACTTGAGAGTTAACACCAGCCTTTGAAACGGATATTACAATCAACTTGTAACCAGGCAATGCTCTGATATCTACCTGCCAACATCATAATCCCAGACACAAAATTTAGCAAGAATTAGAAGTTTAAGTTTCACTACAAGTATCTACCCAATTGCTTAAGCAGTCATTTCTCCTAATATAGTTTCTCCAGAACTCCTGTACCATCAAACTCTTTGCACTTAGCTTAAACAAAATGCAAACTTCCTCAAAGTAAATTCTCCCAGTTACATATCTCATTAAATTTTTATTAGGTGATTATGGTTAAATGTGGTTTTGTGTGCTTAACCTATGAAAACTTAACAGTTATAGACAAGAGGAGGCATCACTGGAAAATGGACAAATGGGACAGCAAAATCAGCCAAGGCTTCCTACATGGCAGCAAAAAGGCCAGATTCACAAAGGAGGCTTTGCAATCTACTTAGAGGACTCTCAAAGCTGAGGAGAGAGAACTTCACTCTCCAGATTGGTGCCTTTTTATATCTGATAAATAAATTAAGGGACAAATTGCTTCAAACTAGCATAAAGATCACAAATCAACGAGAATTTGGAAAAGTATTGTTTTAACAGATTGGAATAAATTGAGGTTGTTGGCTCCACACTGGAGTAAAGCATCAGCGTTGAGCGTGTGTGTGCACTAAAGCACATCTATTAATACCCTTCCATAGCATATAAGATGCATGTCCCTATTTCCTATTTGTATGTTGCAAAGGGAAAAGAATTTATTTTACCAGTTCTGACACATGAATGCAGACATCAAATAGGTGAAGTGGCATCATCACATGCCTATAAATACCAGACCATTCTAAAGACAAACTTCTTTTGTTTATTCGCCTCCAAACTACTAAACTCTCTATATTGCTTCACTTTGTTCTTTTATATATAAGTTAAAATGAAAAGTTCCTTCTTTACCTTGGTCATTCCAAAAGGATTATCCCAAACATCAATAATACTTAACCATCTCATTTTTAGCCAACAATAGAAAGGTCCAATCTGTTCTCCATGCAAAATTATGGTGTATTATTGCAGCCTTGCTTCATTCTGTTAATAGCCAAACCGAACAATAAGAAATGCCATTTTAATAATCCCCCCTTAACACTGCTAATCCTTCAAAAACTTTGCCACCTTGCTATGACTACAATAAATGCAAATTTGACTTTAGCATGAATCTAACTGACACTGCCTCATTCCACAAGCACAGGCCACTGCACCAATTTAAAAACATAATGAAAATTCTCCCATGATTAGCCAGGGTACTGATTTATGACTTTGATATTGTGGTAAAGTGGAATCCAGCTCAGACTTGCTGGGAAGAACTCCACAGTATTCACCAATTTATTCACAATTTTTGAAAGTCTATACTCTCATGATGGCCTTAGATCAAACAAATGTGGCAATCCCTACATAATCAACATTCAAATCTTTCTCTTTATGCATAACAATATCAAATATGCATCACCTATAAAGGAAGAAATTCCTCTATTTGTTATATTACATTTTCCTATGCATGACAAAATTTACTTTGCACAATTGTTGTCCTACGGTAAGCACATCAATTTTCATTTGGGTTTTTTCTGAACCACATTATTCATCAATATTTTACAAAGATTGGTTAGTACTTAGTCGAATCATGTCCACAATGTCCTCCTCCATCACTACCGTTGATCTCATGTTTCACGTTCAATATATACTTACATCATAATTTACTTTTGCTACCCAGGTCATCTAGCCAGACGTATAAGTAAATAAGGATTACCAAACCAGACTGTCATACCTTGAAACTCTTTCCAATTTATTTTCTGACATCTTTCAAGAATTCATTTTGGTATAGTACTTGAAATGCAGATTCTGCAAACTTCCAGTCTTCAAGAAAAAGGTTTTAATTGTTCAAGTTTCTTGATCAATTGTTTCATTTTGCATTAATCAATCAGTTTCACTATAAAACTAAACTTATCATACCAACAATGCCCCTGATTGAACGATAAAAACCGTTATGAGCAAATTACCTATTGGTTGCAGGGCCTGAGAAACCGATGATGGTAGCCTTTTGCTTTCCGCAAATGAGTCAGCCACCTTCAAATTCCAGACAAAGCCCAAACTTCACCCATCAATTTTCTATAAATCAAACTTCAAGATTCTAAAGAAATTGTTTTCCTTCAAGCCTGTCCTTTGACATTAACATTTTGAGAGTCTCTGAAGCAAGGTTGAAGAACAAGAAAAATATATGAAAAGAAAGGGAAAAAAGGAATGCGAAGGGAGTTTATAATGGAGTGGCAGAAACTTTAGCCTGGAGATCATCACGGGCAAACCCAAGCTTGTTATACAGGGTAGAAGATTTGTCTCTCTCTTCTTTTGCTATGTGGCTTTTTCCTTTTTTTTTTTTCTTCCTATTTAATCTTCTCTGGCTTATACGCCCCGTACGAGATATTGCTTTAATGGCATAAAAAAAGAAGGTCGTAAAATGTTAATAATCAATGGGTTAATATTTGATGGAGTGTATAGGTTTTTTATACTCATCAAAATTGACACTTTATTAACAAAGTAAAATAAAATATTAAATATTAAAAACTTTATAATAATTAATTAAACAAAAAAATATTTTTATTTTTTTATCTCCCTTGGATATTCTTTTTTCTTGTTTTCATTTTTTATCTCTCTTCAACCCCATCATCTTCTTCTCCTCTTCTTCCATTATCTCTCCAACTCTATCATCTTCTTCTCCTCTTTCTTCATTAAAATTAAATTTTACAAAATTCTACAAAAATAATTTAAAATTTTTTTTATTTTTTTAAAGAAAACATATTTTATAAAAAATGAAAAAATAAAATTTAAATATATAAATCTTATAAGCAAAATTTATGAAGTTTACTTCTAATTAACAAGATTAAGTCAAAAATTGTTCTTTTCTTAAAAGCCATATCACACCTTTCTTTCTCGTGGTATTTCACTCAAGTAGTTGATTTGAAACTCTTATAAAATGATTAGCAACATCCAATCAAATATGATTGATTTTCATTCAAAATCTTGAAAACTTGAGATTTGGTTGAAAATTAAAATATTCATATAACATATCATATGAACAATGATTTTGATTTAAATACCAAAAAACATGTGGTTTAGTTTTAAGTTTAAATTTATTAGCATTTTGAGTTTAAGTAAAATGGTAAAGTACCCTCTCAAAAGAATTTTGATTTTGATAGGGATTTGCGGTTTTATGAGTGCGTTCTAATAAAAAAAAACCTAATGCCCATGAAAAAAAGAATAATTTTGGACTTAATTTGTTATTTATAAGCAAAATTATTGACTAAATAAAATTATACTAATAAGGTTATCTATTTGAATTTTTTTTCAATCTCTAAACAATAAAAAAATCTGAAAATTACTCTTAAAGTTATAGAATTTTGCAAAACCTAATTTTAATTAAAAAATAAGAGAAAAAGAAGATGATTGAGTTAAGGAGAAATAGAAAAGAGAAGAACAAGAAAAAGAACGGTTAAGAGATATTGAAAAGTAAAATTATTTTATTTTTTATTTAATTAATTATTATAAATTTTTAATATTTAATTTTAAAATTGTAAAAATATTTTATTTTATCTTATTAATGAAGTGATACATTTTAATAAGTTGACAGTGAATAAAAATTATACACCATTAATACATCAAATATAAATCCATAATATATAGTACTCGGCTGATTGATTGCGATGCCAACATGTCTTCTGTATTCTCATTCCAGCATTAGAAACTAGAACTGAAGGGAGATTATGGGGATAAAAGTTTTGGGGTACATTACAGCAATGCTATTGTCTTTACGTATCTTGCAATGGATCCACCGCCCTACCATTTAACTAACTAATGTTAATGGCGATGGGTCAAGACAAAGTTTACAGCCTACAGAAGGAGTGCGAAACATGAAGTTGAGTGAGCTATTGAATGGAAAATATTCAATTTACTTGAAAGAAAGAAAAAAAAACGCAAGAAAATATGTAGAATGTAATCCAGCACTTGTTTCAAACATAAATATATTCAATTTTTATTGTTAAAAAAAAAACCCCCGAGTTTAAGTCCGTCGCGTTGTGACCGATAACCAGACCCCGCCACTAGTGCTCCACTATGGGTAATGGTCGGCAAGATTAGACAGTTGTCTCAAACCCAGTTAGCACTTAAGTGCCCTTTGGACTCTGGCAGCTATCTCAGCCACAAGGTTTCTTCCAACGTAATCTGGAGAAGCGCATCATGATTTCCACTTCTATTTCTTATACAAAACATTTCTTCCACTTTACAATGCTTTAACACGTTTCATATTCAGACCTCACGAAGCATTTTAATGCTCAACGGCTATAAATACCTTGACTCTCCTAAACTCCTCGAACATAGCCCTCAGCCCCTGATTCCTGCGGCTCATAGTGAGAAGTATTCAAGTTTGCATTCACATTGACATCCGAAGCTAATTTCCTTGTTTTCAAGGATTCTTCACTATGTCTTTTGCTCCTTCCACTACATTGTTGAAAATGCCTTCTTTCAGGTTTACAGCTCTTATGATTGCTTTGCTTGTTACCATGTCAGCTATAGTATCCGAAAGTCGTGTTGCAAGAAAGACCTTGGGTGGATCTCGGGGAATAGGAGTTGGGATTGGAGCAGGGGTAGGCATTGCTTGGGAGGTGGGGGTGGTTCAGGATCAGGAGCTGGGGCTGGTTCCGGTTCAGGATCTGGAGGTTCAAGTTCAAGCTCTTAATCTAGTTCATCCTTTCTTCCAGTTCATCTGGCGGCAGGTCGGTGCAGGTTCTGAGCTGTTCATTGCTGCAGGGTCCTATGCTGGGTCTCGAGCCGGCTCTGGTGCAGGTTCTGAAGCTGGTTCATCTGCTGGTTCCTCTGCTGGCTCTCGAGCTGGGTCAGGACGAGGCCGTGAGAGAGGCAACGCCAACTAAGCACTCTTTTCCTGAAAAATGCATAAGTGTAATCAAATAAAAAGGAAACAAACGACCACCTTGTGGGTTGTGCATGAATAAATATGGCGATAAGTAGTTTTCTGTTAATGTTAGCCATTTAAGTTTACCTCAAGTCGTATTAAGAGGGATGCTGTTTCAATAGATATATACGTAGTATTGTTATTCACTTGCACTAGTGTTTAAGAGAGTCAAAATTATCAATATTATTACTTCACGTGTGTCTTAATTAGTTAGCATTAATTATTTGCTCATACTTTTCTTCTCTTGCTGTGGTAGTTGTTCATCATTTATACATATTATTTGACATTCATATAACTCAATACGCACTTATTAATTAAGATGTCAAGCTGATATGCCTGGAGCAATTAATTGAGAAGTGAAGAGAATCACAAGAGAATTAGCCAAAAAAACCAATAAGATATACTAACTATTTTGGAGGAGAAGAATTGGATATTAAAAATCCCTGTCCTGTACATATGTTAATTAGAAACTAGACAACACCAGCAGCTTGGGTCGGAATTCAGATTCCTACTTTCCTTTTCCCTCAAGGCTCATGGCTTACAAATTGATAAGACGTGTCGCTGGATGTCAAAGCTACGTGCTTTAGTGAAAGAAGGTGACATGGAAACTTCACTTTATAATGAAGCAGCCAAATTTCAAATGCACTAGTATGTCCATTGTAGCACTAGAAAAGATATTAGCAAAATTTTGATATCTTATTAATTAGCTTTCTATATGAATGAATACATGCATGTATATCCTAATGTACCAAGGGCAGGAAAATCATAAGCCTTATCCAAAAGGAAATGCATTTTTAAAGAGATTCAAACTTCTCCCACATGTATAACTAGTTCGTTTGATTTCAATATATTAAGATGCAAGCCTGAAGTTCATGTCAATGGAGAAATGACTCTGCATAGTGCTGATAATGAAAGACAAAACCATTAAGGTTTGTTTTAATTAAAAATGCAGTTGAGCCATCTACTCAGCAAAGGTTCATCAGAGTAATCCTCCATACGTGGCTTAATGTTAGACTAAGATGTCAAAGGCAGCTTAGTTCAACTTACAGAAAATTATTTGTGAAAGACTTATTAAGACGTCTGAGATTGATCAACATTAGTAAAAGTAACAAATAATTCATGCTAAGCATAAATTGCAAGGTGAAAGAGAGGTTGGAATTAGACAAGGAAAGGAAAGCACTAAACACATGCTAAATTAATTAAGTGGTCATTTAATCATCGGAGTTCTTCTGCTGGTTCTTGACAGAGAGTTTGGAGTTGCAGCAAGGAGAGAAATTGTATCCTGTGTATCCACCATCTTACTTTAACATCTCTAACTTTTGGCATCATGGCGATAAATGCGCATGCACTTATCTTGGGCTACAATCAACCTTTTTCAGTCAATAATGAGCTAGCTGACTTTTGTTTTCCTCCCCTCCTGAAAAATTCGTGAGCTAGCTGGCTGGCTGCAAAAGAATACCAACCATATAATTGAAGAAACTACTAGAAAATATTCTAGTCAATAAATGAGCCAATTCATACTCCACTTTGTTGAGTGGAGATCAACTGGGTCGGTGACATGAAAACGCGTGTCCAGAAACCCAATGATCTCCTCCTGTGTTTTAGTTTTTCATCCACCAGGTTCTGTCTATCAAAAGCCATTGCTACTTCAACTAATTATATACTACTTGAAATTTTATGATAAGCAAATTTCTCCACTATACTCAACAGTTCACCAACAAGGCAACAACTATATAAATAGCTTACTCTGCCTGTAATCTATCGCTGAAAACAAGTTCACATTTTGCAATTTAATTCTGCTAAGTTACATCTTCCCAAGACAGTTTTTGTGTTCCTCTTATCCAAGAGTACAACACAAACTATTGAGATAAAACTAGCTTGAGTGTTGTTTTCTGTTTAACTAAGTATTGGACAAGTGTCCATTTTGCTTTGTTGTACTAGTTTGATAAGCTAGAGTCTATGTTGCTGCTACATGTCCTTGAACGTGTAAGCATTACATGCTTGTCTTAATCTTATGTTAAACACTCGGTACATAGTTTTGTACTAGTGTTAACTATGCATTTCATGTATATGTTCATGTATCTCTCTTAAGTTAATAATAATGATCGATGTTAACCAAGTTCCTTGGTTTTTTTTCTTCATTTTTTTTCTTTGAATGCATAATAATTTTGTTTTGATTTAACTATAACATGGTATCAGAGCAATAATTGATCCTTGAGTCACTTAAAATACTTATACACAATCTTAAAATCCCATTTTTCACCTACCAGAATCTAACTTCTCTTCAAAAAAATCAACTTCAACCTCAATAGTTACACAACAATCACCACTTACATTTGAAGGTTCAAACTATCTTGTTTGGATTGTCAAAATGAAAGCATTTCTTAAAGATGCTAATCTTT